GGGTGGATCATATTCAAGTTATGTAAGCGGGTAGGCAACTTTTAAGCAGGCTAGCCTATCAAGCAAGGGAAGAACTGGTGGAGTTCACCACAAGCGTCTTGGCTTCCGGGCTCACAGCCGCCCAAGTCTCCAATCTGAACCTGGTTCTCCGCCTGGCTGTGTGTGTATATGTTACAAGGAAAACCACCACTTCTGGCGTGCCCCGGTTTTGACACATATAGCACAAACAGCGGCGTTTGAGCACGCAACATTCATTTCCACGTGGAAAAACCGGTGTTTGGGCCAGCGGAGTGTTGTTGAGTGGACACTGAACACCTGGGTCTTACTCTAGGGCAAAAGCAGATGGCACAGTGATCAACATGATAGCTTGGTTTTATATTTATCTAATTTACTTAACTATATATATATATATCTTTGTTTAAAGCAAACCTGGTACTCAACGACGGTAAAAGCCCCTATGACAATCACTCGCAACCAACTGTAAGTTGTGAGGTTGTGCAAGTGAGCCAACATGTGCAAAAACTCTTGATCTCCTTCTCAAAATTGTACGCGTTGTGTCCCGCGGTTACACTTGTACATCCTCGCAGGAGAAGCTGCCTTGACCTGTGTGCGCGGCGAACCTGGAAGGCCACAAGGCCCCTGATTCATCGCAAACCCTGTCATTAGTAGGCCGCTGACAGATTCCCTCTTGACATGAGTCAAAAACCGCTTTCAAATGGAACCGACACCTGTTGCGCGCTCGGCCGAACAAAGATCTTCGGGCTACGTCTGGATTTCGCTCCAAGTTACTCGACCAAACATGAACCAGTTGAAAGCAAGGTCTCTCAACAATCGAGGTGACAGCTACTGGACCGGACCCCTGCGTAGGACTGTTGAACTCAGAGCCTTACCAAGGCATCTAGGATTGCAGTGTCCGAACGGGTCTGCCCGTGCTCCACACTAATGCTGGCCGCGTTTGCGACTGTTAGCTAGCTTGTTAAGGAGGCAAGGGACATCTTAGCCGGCTAAGAAGGAGCCACTGCCTGGTAAAACTGAAGCCAACCCGGCTAGAAAACTGAAGCTGGAGTCAGAGAGCCGCGAAAGCTAGTTAGGCTGAGAGGTGGCGGTGTAAGGTGGGATAATAAAGCTGTGCAAACCTAGATATTGATGGCTTCTTCGCAGGCATGGTTGTTCAAAGAACTGGCAATCCGTTAAACATATAGATAAAGGCACTGGCACATTTGTTTGCAGCAGTGGAAAGTTTGTTGCCGTGGCCGGAAGCTTGTTAAAGCAGCTGCCTAGATCTAGGAGTCTAAGAAAGGTCAAACAGAAAAGGCTGAGAAAGGGAACGTAATCAACCTGCTCAATCATAGCTAAGCAAACCCCTGCTTCTCAGGTCAGTCAATCCGCTCCTCAGTTCAGCCCAGCTCACCTTGAGTGCAAAGCCACGACCGGAGTATCTCTGCAAAAATATGCGCAAGAAAAAAACACCCCCAGCAGCACCGGAACATCCACAGCCCGATACTCCCAACGCAGGATATGCGAAAACCCCAAAGCTGTTGCTTTGGTTCGGCAACACCATACACTCCTGTAGAATGTCCTGTGAATGGCTGATTGCTGTCCCTTTATAACATCGAGAAACCTGTAAATCCAAACGGCAACCCACCCACCTTGACGAAAATATCTAAGTTTCGGTCTGGGGCTCCTGACACCGTCCCAGGCCAGATTGGCCAGCGCAGCCAGGCCGTGCCTCGAAGATGCGAAGGGTTCCCTTTATTTGGCGTGAATTGGTGGCTTAGCTTCCCATTTACCCAACAAGAACCAGGGGTTCAAATCCCCAAACCACCCATCGATTGAGGGGTATCTGAAGTGTTGAGGGGCGCCCAAAAGAGGCTAAGTTGAACCAAGCAGTCCCCTGGTTCCCTAAGAGAAACGCACATGAGGAATTGTTCTTCAGCAATGGTGGTGCAAACGTACTTTAGCAAGGGTTGAAATCGCCCAACCCTGATTAGCACTCGGCACGGTGCACATCTCATCGATTCCGAGTCATACGCCGAAATCTCCGAGTCCGTGTCTGTGCCGGAGCATTGAGTTGCGCCAACCCGAAGCTGAAACCACTGTATGCAATAAACGATGCTGCAAACTCAAGACAGCTTTGACATGAAAGATATTAGCTGAGAAGAAGATGAATAAAACGTGGCAAAGCAGCAACAAATGGCACAAGCGGAGGTCAGAGCTGGGAGCGGAGTGAGGAAAATGAGAGAAGAGAAAGGGGAGGAGCAGGAAAAAGAGAAAAGACCAGGCAGAAGAGTGGAGAGGAGTAGGGAGATGTGCAAGGAAAAGAACAGGCAGAAACGCTGAGAAGAGCAAAGAAAGCCAGACCACAGAAAGGTGGGGAGAGGAGCAAGCAAAGCGGAAAGAAAAGCAAAGATCCGAGCGGGTCGCAAAGGAGAAATCGAGAGCGGACCGTTGCACTAAGCAGCTAAAAGAGCGAAAGGCTAAGCTGGGAGAAACAAGGGATTGGCGTGCAATGAAGGAGAAGAGCGGGACCATTGCGGAAGAGAAGCAGGTAGAAGAAAATGAAGTAAAGCGGAGAAGCTGAAAGACGGCGGAGAAAAAAAGCAAAGAGCGGAAAGACAAGCGGACAAGCAAAGAAAACGAGGAAGGGACGGGCTGAAATGGAATGATGTAAGAATCAATATAGTACACTTAATTAAATTCTCCGATTCTGCTACTCAAGCGATGATTGCAATGCTCCACTTGAGCATTGAAAGCACATGCTTGAAGTATGTTCTACCTGGAAAGCGGGTCAATGCTGCCATGAGGACCGTGTTGCTTGCCAGGAATGCTTGCTCAATCCTTTGGGACCTTTTTATGGGAGCCCGGGATTGCAAGCCCCTTGGTGATTAATGGGGGGTGTTCCCTTTTAGTGGGATTCCTTCACATTTGTAGGTGACAGAACTTGTCAAAATTCATCAACACAGGCAAGCCAAACAGTCCAAAGAACTTCGGATGATTGCCTGCCCCTCGTCGCGTCTTTTGGAGACAACTCCTCACCAATGAAGATCCTAGGATGTTTCTGCCTGGGCATGCATGGCCTATCTTGAAGCTCTTTTCAGCGCGTCACTGTCATGTAGACGTTGGCACAGACAAACAAGTCCAACGCCGTAAATTAACAATTTTGGCTAACAATTGGACTACTCATACTCATACTGCACATGCTGCTGGGCTCGCATCCGTTGCAAGAAGGTATCTTCTGTTCTGTTGACTGATTGTTGTTGGGAGGGTGCTTTGAGTATTGGCGGCTTCTGCACAGAATTGAACGGCTTGCACAATCAACATAAGTTTAAACAATCCGAACCCGTTCAAGACGAGAAGTCAGCTTGCTTGCCCTTGTTGGTGCATCTTGTTCGGAACAAGCAGGCCAAATAAATCAAGATCAAGCAACATGGCCGGGTCAGCTGTTGCCTATGAATCTGGCATAGCCGACCTGACTTGCTGTGGAAGGACAAATCCTGCACCAGTTGGCAAGTGGTTTATCCCAGTACTCATAGGGGGTTGACCGCATCCCAACTGGTGCAACATGTTGTCCACCCACAGAATCAGCTCATTTCTTAGCCAAGTCCACGGCTGCTGGTCACGGGACAATCCACTTCAGGCGACCTGCCGGACTGAGGTGAAGACTCCTGGATCGTAGCGTACTCTTTGAAGTCTCCCAACGTCTGGCACACCTCAGCACCACCGACGGAATTCACTCTGCCGTGATCAAAATACAAACATATGACAAACACAAGGCATGTTGCTTTGCAAAGTGAGACATTCTTGCAAATAATGGCCCAACGGGCGCCTGCTCTGAGCCGGCCGAATTATTATGGTTGCATGGGAACAAGGATAGCATCCTGTGCGAGGCCCATCAAAGGGGCATCTTGCTGCTTGCATGGACGGTTTGGCTCTGCCTTGGCATGAAACAACACCCGACTTCAGCATATGTCATCCAGGTGAAAGTAGATGGCACAATTTTATGTTTTGGGGAAGTAAAGGAGAGAAGTAAACCCGGATGGACAAATTGTGCCATCTACTTTCGCCCATCTGGACACAGTTGTCGCCGACTTGACAAAGATTGAGTGTGTGTGGTGCCATCTACTTGTCGCCGATTTGTGTGTTTGTGCGATGGTGTGTGTGTGTGTGTGTGTGTGTGTGTGTGTGTGTGTGTGTGTGTGTGTGTGTGTGTGTGTGTGTGTGTGTGTGTGTGTGTGTGTGTGTGTGTGTGTGTGTGTGTGTGTGTGTGTGTGTGTGTGTGTGTGTGTGTGTGTGTGTGTGTGTGTGTGTGTGTGTGTGTGTGTGTGTGTGTGTGTGTGTGTGTGTGTGTGTGTGTGTGTGTGTGTGTGTGTGTGTGTGTGTGTGTGTGTGTGTGTGTGTGTGTGTGTGTGTGTGTGTGTGTGTGTGTGTGTGTGTGTGTGTGTGTGTGTGTGTGTGTGTGTGTGTGTGTGTGTGTGTGTGTGTGTGTGTGTGTGTGTGTGTGTGTGTGTGTGTGTGTGTGTGTGTGTGTGTGTGTGTGTGTGTGTGTGTGTGTGTGTGTGTGTGTGTGTGTGTGTGTGTGTGTGTGTGTGTGTGTGTGTGTGTGTGTGTGTGTGTGCTTGTGCGCTTGTGTGTTTTTTTCTGCGTCTGTGTAGCTGTTGTTGGAGCGGGCCTGGCTGGTACGGCCCGCAGCTGCGCCCGCCTCTGGGCGTACGGTCGAGGCATTAAGTCTGGCGCCCGGCCAGTACATCTGCCTACTCTTTCCACTCCCTGTAGTTGTATGCTCTTGCTCGAGCTCCCAATCGTTCCAGAACTCCGCCTTCCCACATCTGTGCATCTTGACGAAATAGGCAAGCGGTCACCTCTCTGGCTCCCTCCGACCTGTGGTGGCTGAATCAATGCAGCCATGCCAAGGCATATTCGCGTGTTGCGCAGGTCTGGGATAGCTCCACCATTGGTCTTATGTCACCGAACCGAATCTTGGCAAGGGACACTCATGCGGGGTATGGGGGGTAGGATAAACCCAAGGCCAAGGAAGCTTGGTGAAAATGTAGCTTGCCCGCTCGTTGCATTTGGGAACCTGCCCTCGTTGCATTCGTTCACCTTCAAGAATCTGCACAGAGTGAAGATGCAAACTAAGTACCGGGTGGGAGATTGGAATACAGGCTTTGGCCCAAAATGGGTAACCATCTGTTGCGTGCTTTTGAAGGAACACCGAAAGGAAGCAAGACACCTAGAGGGTCCCTCATTGTGATTCAGAAACTCATCGGATATGGTAGTGGCACGGCTCTGGTTTTGGGAGAAACGCGCCTTTCTACGGGCAGTTTAAGCCATGGACGCTCTGGTCAACTGCACCCTGCCGCCCCGGGCTACGAGAATCCGCGGATCCGGCGAATTGCACGCCGCCGTTGTCCGCCACGTCCCCAGGGACTTCTTCCTGACGACTCGTTTCGGAGCCCGTTTTTTCGAAAGCTGTACAAAAAAGCCCTGAACACTCCTTTTTCAAGGGCAAAATCTTAAGATGGAAAGGCCGAACTTATCTCGTCAACGAAAAGAGATTTTGATGGGTCCCTTGCCAATGCCACCCGCTTCAGTGCAAACCAAAAGGCAGCTGGGGAAATTTGAAAGGATCGCGCGTGGGATCTTGAAGTTGTCGCCAAAGGAGGCAGGGCAACTGTTCTGGACCCGGCGGACTCTTTGCGCGTCATCCAAAGTGGGAGCTGCAAAGTGGAGAAATATCTGGACATTCAGCCTACTCTGACCTCTCTGAGGCGAACATGCGCGGTCGTGTTGTCTGTGCGTTCAGGACTTCTATGAAAAGCTATCGCCACGATCCACCCAGGTTTCCAGCATGCCCTGCTGTTGCAGCGCAGCGCATGCCGAGCCTACTTCCCGCAGGCTGCATGTTTCGCGTTGGAGCTCTCTTGCCCACTCATGCAACATCTGAATGCCAGCAAGGTCGATGCACAGCTCCTCGCAGCTAATTTGCAAGGCTTGACCTTCAGAAGCTCTGCATGGCGCTTGGTTCCTGTGGATGTCCTTTGCATCTACTGTTCGCAACCAGTGAGTCAATTGTTGTGACTGGTCTTGCTTTGGACTGCAATCGCACACAGTCACGCAGTAGCAGCACAAGAATCAAGGCAGCACGTTTTCAAACAATCTCGAAGTTTCGCCACATGTGCCGCCTGGAAGATGCGCGGCAGTTTGCGACATGACGGTATGTCAAGAAAATGCCAAGTTTGAGGGCCTCCAAACGCTTGCTCTCCATGTAGCTCCAAATGCTTGCTGTCCGCGTAGTTGATAGTGACACACAACAATTAAAGGACTGTTCCCGGTTTCAATCCTTCGGATATCAGAAGGGTCTTTTCATGATCACGTACCCCCTTGCTGGCAAATCTGATGTCAAAATAAAAACAAGCAGGATTGCAACACATGAACTTCTGCTCGAAACTCACTCAACGCCTACCCTTAAGATACCCCAAGACAGCCTGACCAAGGCTTCTACTTCTGGGGAGCCCCTTCTTCAGATGATGGTTTTCCAACACCCTCCCCACTATTGGAAAGAGGAGCAAACTTTGCAAACCCCAGGTTTCTCCGAGAGACCGCGTCACGCCCAGGTGCTCTCGGCTCCAGCAAGCACAGCTTCGGCTGTGCTTTTGAGGGGGGGGGTGGGGTGGGGTAATATGATAACGTTCAGTGACAAGACCTTTCTGGCCCGGATTCCCTTTGTTTGGGGTGGGGTGGGGTGGGGTGGGGTGGGGTAATATGATAACGTTCACTGACAAGACCTTTCTGGCCCGGATTCCCTTTGTTTGGGGGTGGGGTGGGGTGGGGTGGGGTAATATGATAACGTTCGTTGACAAGACCTTCCTTGGAAACCTTTTTTTGTTTTTTTGGCTGGCTTCAGTGTGTTTCGGGTGGGGCAGAATGGCATTTCGCAAAGCCATGCTTCACGCTCACTGTCTACGTGTTGCTTCGCCTCGCTGGGGCGTCACTGCCACCGCTGGTATCTTCCTGGGGATCTTTCGGCATTCATGAGGTCGACCATTTGCATGAGGCACGAAGGGCTAACGAAGATGCACTACCCCCACTGGGCATTCCGATCTCGAAGCGCTGCAGGTCATGTGTGACCCCGCCGCCGACAGCAGCTCTGCTGCAGCGCAGGCTGCTTGCTTGGCAGCCTACCCGTGGCCGTGCCTGCTGAGAGGCATTCGGACCTTGTTAGATGCCTGGACGCGCTTTCAACGAGCTACAGTGCAAAGTCCACATCAAGGAGTCTGCGCTGCACTTGTGGTTTTGCGCGCCAGGCTTCTTCGCTTGGCTACGTCTGCTCCCTTTCGGGCAGACTCTTCGTGGATGATTCCGGATGAGCAGCTGTGGGCTCGCAGATGCGTAACCGCTGTGGAGCTTGCGCGTTTCGAGGTGGTCGAGGTGGTCGAGACCAGCCCGCTGCCCGCTGATAACACGTGCACAGTGGCCTCTGACACTCTGCCGCCGCAGCCCACAGGAGTTTCACTGAGATGGCGCAGAGGCGTGCTTCAGCCACCATCTGAGGCACGATGGACCTGCCCATTTTGACTTGGAGCCAGCAGACATCATGTGCTTGCCCCTTTTTTTCAATTGCTGGCAGATGCATGAGGCTGACAGAGCTTTTGGCTTGGATGATGGGATAGGCTTGGATGTTCCTGCTTGGGCTGAGACCTTGTTTGCTGACTCTTCATTTCCTTGGACAGAGGACTTGGTTTTGGCTCTTCGTGATGGATTGCTGAACGACCACGAAGACACCATGCCTCCGATTACGTGCCGTGCTATTATCATATATGATATTATGCCTGCGCCTTCATGCTCTCGGACTGCAAGGAGCCCTGGTCTACCAGAAGGCCGCGGGGTCGCAGGTCGGACGGCGCCTGCGCCGAGTCGTTCGAGTCGACGCGTTCAGCGCGGGCACGCGCAGCAGCCGAAGTATGGAGCTTGCTTGACGTGCCAAAAGCCTCTCCGACCAACTATGCCAGCCTCCGGCCGGTGGTGGGGCACTCTTACGGTGCTCAAGATGGTGGTTGCGCGGGCCAGCTGGCAGACGTCTCTGCTGGTATTGCACCTCACCTTGTGGGTACTTTTTGTTGCTCTCAGATTGTTTTCTTATTCTGTTCATGTCCTGTTAGACGCGATAGCAATCTGAGCAGGCAAGCCATTTGGCAAAGCGTCTACCTCTTTGCCCCGTAGCTTGCAGCGGAGACTGAGAGAAGTCAGATCTGACATTCGCTGGCAGCTTGCTCATCCCGGCACAGTCTGAACTTCAGAGCCGCATGGGGACCTTGGCAACAAAGAATCTGTGTGAACTTGCTGTGCATATATAACCGCACACGTGTTTTGCTGTAGTGGTCATGGAACTGTCCTTTCCATTTGTAATCAACCAGGGAATGTAGCAGTGTGAAGCATGTGTTTCTATGTCCTCCGCAGCTGTTTTCCTTTTCAGAGCGCTGCATTCTCCGAATGGGGAAGAAGGGTGTCAAGCGCAGTTTTTCTGCCAGTGCAAGTGAGAACACCGAGTGGAAGAAGCAAGGGCTCCAGTACTCGGCAGCTTCTTTGTCTGCATCTGGCACTCACACAGGCTTGCGGCCTTTGCGACAAATCAGTTACCATGACCTTTGCAGCTGGACTCAAGATCAAGCCTACCAGTACCTCTTGGACCATGGCGCGCTCTCGAAGATCCGCCACTGTGCTGGTCTTGCATGGAGGTCATGACCGCTGAGTCCCGCCAAGTCAATGCCACCTACGCGTGCAAGACCAAGAGCTGTTACTTGCATCCCAAGGTCACTTGTCCGCGGGAAGCATGGACGCCCTTGCACGGCGAGGTTCGACTGCTGGGCGATGCCGACTACAAGGGGTTTCTGCTGCGCTGTTACTTGGTTGGCGTCAAACTCCCCAATGACTCAGCCTTCCACTTGCTACCTGACGTACACTGGAACAAGGTCTCAAAGTGGTGCCAGCAAATACGACTGGCGTGTGCTACCGCAGAGTACTCGAACAGCATCTCCATGACTTTCGAGGAGGGCCTCATGGAGTTCGACACAGCTCTGACTTCTGTGGACCGAGACCCTTCCGCACAGAGTGTTGCGCAGGCGAGGGAGAAACGAGGTAATCCCTATTGTTTTTTGCTTACTAGGCTTTAAGGGCTGCTTTGGCTGCTTTTTGCTTTGACTTTCCCCAGGCGCGCCAGAGCCGCTTTCAAGCTGAGAGACGAGGAGCACGCCTGGCTGCGCGGAAAGATGTGGCTCCGACCAAGGCTGTTCGCAAGCGACCGGCTTCTCGGAAGCAGGCCATCCACCGTGGCCGCCATCTGGTGTTCGCGCTGCGGTCGAGTGGCCGTGAAATCTCCACACGCTGCTATGCTGTGCTTCCACTGCCCGCAAGGCTTGCCCAGCAGTCCTGTGCTCCCGGTCCTGAGTCATTCGAAGAGACCTTCGTACACGTGTCTCAAAAAGTGAGCCCTGCCAAGCATGTTGTTTGCGCGAATGGCAGCAAGAGCTTGCAGAAGTGCGCGTCAGTCTTGAAGGCTGCGTCTGCTGGCGGGGTCGCTCACTGGCGTTTCTTGTTCACGCCTCTGAGCAAGATCCCGAAGCGTGGGCTCTCTGCTGAGCCTTTGGCCTTGCTCCGAAAGATGAGCAAAAAGAAGCAGGGAAAGATTGCGATCGAGAAGCGGGACTCTTTCTGGCTGACAGGTGGTGACCAAGTCGCTGAGTGCATTGCCGGCATTGGGAAGCAGACTCTGAGACGGCTGGGGCAGTTGGGCAGAAACAAGGACAAGCTCGAGCATCGCAACATTTTGGCAGCCTACTACGTTCACCAAAATCCAGGACTGCAAAGTGTGCTGGCTGCATTGAAAATGCACCGCCAGAAATGCATGGGGCTGGTGGCCCCCACGAAGGCTTTCAAGCAGCCGCTGTGGAAAGTGTAGAAACTGCTGATGTGTGATTTTGACGCGGAAACAGGGCAACTGCACTTTTTTGCTGCTCAAGATCTGGTCAGACATTGATTCAATCTTGCAATTACAGTGGGATTTGAATGAGTGTTGAACATTGGATAACATTTTGGTCACCTGTTTTCATGTTGCTGAACACGGACTTTCGTGGTACTTTCGTGGTGTTAGTCCGTGCGCGTTCCATGTAGTGGCATGTGGTCTGCTGGTATGTCATGAGCTTAAACCACTGTAAATACTGGGTCCAAACACATGCGGGGACTCGTTTGCTCGTTTCTTGATGTTGATTCTTCGGAGAAACCCGGGGATTGGGCCTGGAAAGAGGATACACTCCAAAGCAACCCCTTACAGGCGCTCAACATAATTTTCATCTAGCCCCGTGCATCCTTAACATATCTGTGCCCCGGGCGCTGTCGGCGGAGATCGCGCGCAACGCCTCACGTGCTGACGGCTTCAAAGGGCCACAGGCGCCCTTTAAGGGCCACGGCGGGAAGAATGGAATGAAACACGCCACCTCCCCTCAGGTGCTTTTGGCTTTCCCTATCCTTCGACTTCTCTTTGATGGCCACGCATTCAACACTCAAGATTCCTCAGATTCACTCAACCAAATTGCCAGGGTCACTCACCCAAAGCTACTGTAACTCAGGCTGTTGCAAGTTAAGCTTTCGTGTGGCAAGGGGGTGTGTGCACCAAGCAAGGTTTGGTGGGAGGAGGAAGCTGATTTCAACCAGTGGGAAACTGACTGAACGACCTAAGGCTGCGACGAAACAACCTCGCGCACATATCCCATGTGCCACGTAGATGCTTCATTTTACCTATACCCCAGCTTGTGCCACCCGAATGGTCTCATATGCTTTGATTATGGTGTATATTGTTTTTTTCCTTAAGCTATACCATAAGTTCAAAACGATCCCAGGTGTCATCGTGCAAAAGGCACACTGACACCAGGGACTCAGACTTGCCCGAATTGTGATTTGAAGCTAGCCCTGTTCAACCAATTGGACCCATTTGGACACTATTGTTTGGCAGCCAAAAGGATAACAAGTGGTTCATTGTAAATATGTTTAAACAAGCAGACTGAACACGCCGAGCAGTCTTGGCATATGACGCGAGCAACTGAAATTTGGAGTTGATTCTGCATAGGCTAAGAATTGATTCAGGATGAGTGTCTGGTTCACTTGGGGTGTGCTGAGCTTTGAGTTTGGCATGGGCGTATAGTCTTGGCAGGTTCGACTAGGGGTGTTAAGTTCGAGAGCCTACTATGTAGGCCACAATCAAGCTTATAATATATATATATATACACATATATATATATATATTATATATAATATATATATATATATGTGTCAAGCAGGCACTGTTTTTTTAACTGGGAAATTCTATGCAGGCCACCCACTATTTTCCCCAACAGGAAAGCTTCAACTGGTGAACCCCGCAACGACCCGTTTGGCATGCTGCGGGAAATCACAGAGGTCAATTTCCTATTCCAAAAACGAGTATATGTATATGAGCCGAAATCATTACAAATAAGTTCACGGTTGTAAAGCGCCAAATTTAGTGTCGTGCTCATTGGAGTAAATCATAAGAACATATTTAGCCCCTTGCAATCTCACCGAAAGTTTTGGCAAAGGCTCGGAGCATTTCTTGAGCCCAATTACCCAGCCCGTTCAGTAGACAAAGAATTGGACGCATTTTTTGCGGGGTAGTTCCAGGTTCGTAACTCGTCCAATGGGACCGCCGTGCTGAACAAGTTGGGCCGTGGCCTCCAGGGCGTTCTCCTGCAACTCCGCCCAGGTGCGGTTGGAAAGCATGGCCTCACGTGGTGAAGTAGGTGGCTGTGAATTTCAATAGGGAACCCCTCAACATGGACATAAAACACTACGTCTACTGTAATATGCCCACTCAATTAAAATGCACACCCAAATGGCACAATGACCCCGTGGTTGTTTAATTTAATCATGCTCCCTTATTTGTCCATCTACTTTCAACCTGGTGTAGATTGGCCAAACATGCCGACGATCTGTTGCCCAAAAATTATATTCGAAAATATGATCCACATTTAGTGAAACTCAAAATGCAAAATCAGTTCAAAAAAGATCCTGGTCACCCGTCGACCCCCTGTGAAACCGACCAAGGGACTCGCTCAACGACAGGTTTGCACACTTTGTACAACTACAAAGGGCAAACAGACTGAGTGGAGATACGAGGGCGGATGGGTGAAGCTCACGTCAAGCAACAGAAGTTGGCTCAGGACGCAACCGTCGTTGCTCGTTTCGGGCCCTCGGGAACTTGTGCCAGAAGCAGTCAATTTGAGCAGAGGGGACAAGTAATGGAGGAAAAAAACAGTGAACGCAGGATAGAGTAAGCCAACGCTGCGCAATCAAACACACTTATGTGCGGCATTCGAGTGCTTTGGGGGCTCGAAAGGGTATGCTTCACCACAAAAAGGGGGGCGGGGTGACGTTTCACACTCTTCTCTAACTCAGGATGTGTGTGTGTGTGTGCGCGTGGGTGTGCGTATGCTCCCTGTTTGCGGGCATGAGAGGCGGTAGATTACCACTTGACACCTGCAAGCCTCATTGCTGTAAGCCCTCAGCTAATCGGCTAAGCAGGATTGGCGGCTAGGGGTCACATGAGGCATTCTGCAAAAACGGCCTGGCGGCTGGCTTGAATCATGCAGCGTTCACAATGCAATGCAACCGTCACCATAGCAAAAAAGCTGAATTTTGCTGGTAATCCTCGGGTCCAGATCCGAAGGCAAGTGCTGGGTTTCTGCTTGATGACATGATGTGCATGCTGCTTGCACCCTAGCTTTGAGCGGTTCGTGAGTTTGGTGACAGTTTTTTTTCTAGGGAGACATCTAGGTCATGAATCATGGCCAAACAATTGTACCAAGTCGATATGTATCACAATGCAACATCTGAACAATGGCCCAACATGAGTTAAAGTCGCAGGCGAAGAAGAGTGCACCAGATAGAAAGAGGCGGATTCATTGTTCTCACAATGGTGGTCCCCTAATCTTTTGGCTTTCGGCTAGCTACCAACCAAAAGGGGTCCATCATTTTTGGGAGCCCCCTTTACGTTGGCACATTGAGTGTAGCCAAGATGAGTTGCTCGCCATGTCAGACCCAAAGCGCTCCGGGCAGTTATGAAGTGGGCACATGACTACCCACTTACAAGGGCTTTTCCTCATACAGTTCCAAAGCGAGGGTCTCCATCAGCGGAATGCGGTGTGACACAGCATGTTCCGGCCTCAACATGGTTCAAAGGGATTTCCGACCGCGAGAAGGAATTGCAAGAACCCTCTAAAGCGTGTGTCTTTTGAGGGTACCCTTTCACCAAGATGAGACGCGCCCAATTCTGACACACAACTCAGTGCAACTGCTTCTTGCGGACCGCGCTCGCACGATGTGCTTTGCGCCCTTGTGCTTCGCGATGCGTGCCTGACTGTTGAACCATCGGGAAATCAGGAGGCTCGGCCTCCCCTGCTTATACGCGTACCCGTCTGTTTCCTTTTGATGTCCGTGTCCATTTTGAGAAACCCGCATACACTATGCTAAAACACAAGGGAAACCATTGGACATTCTGATCGAAAGGGCCCCCTTCGACTTGGGGCCGGGCTTCTCCCTATCAGGGCGGATGCTGAATGCACTGGAAGACCTGAAGAGCTCCAGGTTCCTCACGATTCTGTTTGAGAGGATTTAATTGTACGGCGTGGCTCTTAACACAAGACATTGAGGTTGCATTCTATATATACATATATATATACACACTATATTCATGTTCTTGATTGCTATAAAGTGGGTCAAGTCTTTGCCCCTCTTCATCCCAATTGCTGCCCCGCTCCCGGAACAAATCCAACTGCTAAAGCTCTGGCGATACTTTTGCCAAAGGCCCATATCGGGCGACACCCAGGATTCAAGCCAGAAAGCCAAAACCACATTTGTGTCGCAGATTCTTCAACTCATTAAGCTTCTGGTTAATCATGGCACTCTCCAGCACTGGGCTAAGAAACACAATTACCTTTGGCCAGACAGGAGCCAGAAAGCAAAGCGCCGGAGAGAGCTGGCAAGATCTGGATAAAAAGGAGGGTCGCGCAGACCCTCCGCAAAAAGAGTCAGGGGTTGGCAGCCGGTTGGCATTAGCGTTTATCCAGTCTTGTCCCCCCAACGATTCCAAAACCTTATGACAAGCTATTCAACATATAATCCAGACCCCTGGTGAAACACTGGGCTTCACTGATTTGCCTAGGTTGTGTTCATAGTAAAGGCCGTGTTTTGAACGCTTTTAAACCCAAGTAGGATGGGAACTATCTACCAAAATGGCGGCTCTTCACATCTCTCCGTGCTTCACCGCTCCCGAGAACTAATTGGGCTAAAGTTACAATCATAACCTGACACTAAAGGGGGTCTGCCCAAACCAATGTAAATAACTAAAAACGGCAGATATCGGAACCTGCTCAAGGTTGGGGCTCTGTCCCCCCACTAAAGAACGAAAAGGGAGTGGCTTCCTGTTGGTGTCCCATTTTACCAAAGCTTGTCCTTAAATAGGCGAACCCTCAAAATGGGCAGTTGTCCTTTGGCTCCAAATACAGCAGTTCCTTTTCTTTCCCTCCAGGTGGTTTCCAAAAAGGGGGCCAACTCCTATGTTGAGCTAGCTGGGCATTGGAAACCTCCACTTTGCTTGTTTGTCCATTGGTAAGTGGATACATTGACATGGTCATTCGCTGCTCGTTTGCGAGACCGACCCAAAACGAGGCGGGTAAGCCGAATGAGGCGCTGGCCACTGCCGCAGCGTTCCCCTTGGCCAACAAGGCCAAAGAGACGCAGCCCCGCAGCGCCAGCCTAACCGGGAGACCGCCCGGTGACTCTGGGGGAACCCTGTGGATGGACCGGATGGACAAAGTCCACTTTGCACCAGTCAGTAGGAGGTATTTAAACTTAACCCTGAAACCCTGAAATCCAAATTGACATAAAATATTTGGTTGAAAGTACAGGCACAATCCCAACAGATTCTTTACTTCCCCATGGAACTGTGCCATCTACTTCACACACCCAACTGTACCCTTGTTGGTTTGAGAAACCAACATTACCCTCCCTCCAACAATCATGGAAGCTGACAAGGGGGTTTTGGAAGACTATTTTCCTTCTGGGGAAGCCCCCCTGTTCATTTCCATGTTTGTTGGACAGATAGTATATGCTACATAGAGCTCTAAAACCCTCAAAAAGCTGCAAACAAAAGCACTGTGTGAAGCCTAATCAAGCAATGCCTGTGCAACAACTGGAGGTGGACGATCGGAGGGTGGAAGACTCTCCGTGGAATAGGCCCGAACAACTTTTGTCTAGTATTCCAAGTATGGCCTGCATCTTATCAGGTATGATACATTGACCGGGGACACGCTTGTGATGGACCGTGGTCAAGCGAAGGTGCCATAATGAAGAGGAATAGCACAGCATGGCACAGCATCATTCGAAAACCCCGCAAGTCACCAACAGCGACTGGCACCGCGCTGTGAGCCATGAATCCCTAGTTACAGTCTTAAAGGCACCCTTTTGGCCTCTTCAAGCCAATGTGGCACCAAACTGTTGCAAGCACTCATCCAGCCTCAGAAGCATGAGGCTGCTTTTGTCGATGGTTGACAGTATATGTCGTGAAATAACATCACTCGTAAGCAACAGGATTAATGTGTGTGTGTGTGTTGAAATGCGCACCATGAAAATCATGCCAGGATTGCTGTGTGTTGGTGCACTGGCTCTGACTGTGGCTTCATATGCTTGGCATAGGTGATTTGGTGCAGTTGGTCCTGGGCAAAAGGCAAAATGGAGGTCAAGCACAAGTTTGGGGTTGGAACACCAGGGTCCTTATGATCGAATCGTTGATGTATCGGCATCTTGGGCGAAGCATAGGTGTGTAAAGACAACTTTTGGTCAGACATGAAGGGCCGTCTACGCCTCTGATAAGGCAATTACAAAGGGCGTACGAGACTTGGGAAAGAACAGAGACCGGCATATCGGGCGCCCAGGCTCGTCGCTCTTGCGGTTCTCGTTCATGCCATCCAGAATCTCGGCGCAGAAGCCCGCTTAGGCTGCATCTTCAGGGCTCACCGGTTGCAACCACTGACCCTGGTAGTAAAAGTGAACCCTTTTTTGGGTTCATTTTCAGAGGGGAACCCACCAAAAAGGGAAAATTGGTGCAACTGAGCAACTGAGTTGAGCGGAAGCGCCAGGTTTTCTGGCACGGCACGCATAATGTGTGTCAGGTTCGGAGACCCTCGAACAAATAGCTTACTTTGTCACTTCAGAACATCCTGTAGCTCGTTTGTGCGAGGCTCAAGCAACTGAGTACCTACCAAGTCGGCAGCTTGGCTGCTTTTAGCAGGGGTACCCAAAGTTGGCAACCTTTGATCACGACGGTCACATGTCAAAGGAAACACACCAAGGTTGCAACCGCTTACATGCTTTGCCGCCCCGACATGCAACCTCTGGCGACTCCACGGGCCCAGATTGAATGCTCTGGTCCTTTAAAGGAAGCCAAACAACAATCGCCTTTTTGCGGGCTCCCTTTGCAAGCTGAGCCTTTGAGGGGGCTATGGGAAGCCAATGGAAACCATGTTCTGGGCCTTTCATGTGGCCCTTAACCATGGCACGGCTGACTAACCATACCAAGGTTTGGATGAGGGAAGTGTCGCGAGGTCAAGGTGTGAGAATGCCCCTCGCTGGCTAGTAAGGAACCACCTTTGCGGAGCGACAGGTTGTTGCTGCCGAGCCGAGCCTCATACTGTGGAATGGACAACCTGCACCAGTTGGGATGGACAAGTCAACATGCATAGTGGGACAAGCCACCTACAATATTGTGCCGGATTGTGTGCATCCACAGTATCATAGGATTGTACAACCACAAGGAAGGTTCGTGCACCCGTCAGCCTTTTGGCTGGTTTGGAACTTGAAACCATCTGGGTGAATGATGCTAGCTAAACAGAAGCGAGCCTTTTGCTCACGGAACATTGTGAAGGTTCTTGCAATTTTCGGATTATATACTAAGGAACAACACGCAAGCATTCTGGCAGTCTCGCCATTTGAGCCGAAATCAAAACCTAGGTCAGTCCCAACCATAAATAGGCGCCGCTATTTTCAGCCATTTTCACACAAATTGGTTCGTCTCCTTTAGTCCAAGCACCAGACTGTGATTGTTGACTCATTGGTGGTTGTACCCAAGTATTGAAACTATGCCTGTGAAAGGTCAGTCAGTTTGGATATGAGTCTGAGGTTGTTGAGCCACAGGTTCCCGGTTCTGCGGCACCATTGGGTGTCTTTTTCGAGGGTGCTTCTTTGGGATTGCTTCAAAATGAAAACCAAAGGAAAACCACACCGTTGCGGAGTCCCCATTTTTGGGACAGACCCACTTGGTTCTCCTCAGGGTTTGAGTCGCGTGAAGATGGCTTTCAGTCAAAGCCCCTCGCGCACCTGGCAAGGTGCCGGGAGTGAATAAACGAAACTGAGGGGTGCATGTGGTCAAAATGGCCGCCTAGACACCCACAACCTCGCTTTCTTCCAGCCTTCCACCCCGTTGATCCAGAGATCTGGCCAAGTATCAACCCCTTGCAGGCCTTGTCCGGTTCTCGCCCCTTCTGGTGGCTGGTTGGGTCCCCCGGCCGCTTCGATGGCCCCAGCTGAGATCACGTCTTCCTTGCCCTCCTTCAAAAGGCGGGACCGATCGGCTGAGCATGCGCCAAACGTTCCCATGGGCCTGGGACAGGGGTTCGGTTGAACAGTTACGCTGCAGGGCAAACTGTATGATTGAATATTGCGTCGTGACTAGAAGGGCATCCCCTACTGATGACTGTATTGTGGCACATTCAGATGAAGAACAATCTTGATGATGCAAACTTAAGCGTGTCTGTGCGCGCGTGTTTGTCGGCACAAAATGATGCGAATTGCTGATCTACTCGTAAAGACTTGCATATTGAAACAGACTCAGCCCCCTGCACAAGGTTAACTTGTTGGTCAACGGGGCAATGAAACACATCAACAGCGCAAGGGGCAAATGCTGCAGATACGTTCGGTGAGGCTTTGCTGGCAAAGTCCATCTCTGGGAGCATGGAAATTTCCTTTCCGGGAGGCCACAGCTTGTTGCAGCGGACTTCAGTTGGAAGCGCTGGGACTATTCCCAGAAAATGTTGGCGACTGCCAAGGGACCAGATGTGGTGTCGGTTGCTTATTGATACTATCCCTTGAGATAGCATAAGTGGGCCATCCCCCACTTCTTGTCGCACCAAAAAGGTGATTCCCTTGGTATCAGACCCCCTGCTCTCCCAGACCGTCTCCCTGCGCTCGCTCCGGGGAGAACTCCGCGATCAAGCGCAAGAGTTGGGTCGCCTCCTGCTGGACGTGGTTCTGCCTGGCAGGGAAAAGGCGCCCTTTGGGCAACCGGTGGGGTCTGTTGAGTTGCGCGACAAACACAAGCCCAAGTCTCAAAGAGTTCAGGTTGACATCAAAGAAGACAAGGGCGATAGTGCTTGAACAAAAGGCAATATTAAAGTTGTGGAAAAGCACCCATTCTGTGACACCGAAGTGGTTGATTCCCGGCCCCGCGAAGAGATTGCCCCATGGGGATGCGGAAAAAATGGTAGCTGCGGAACCTGGAGATTGGGATAGCCTCGTTCGCCCCATCGCGGTTTACGTCCCAAACCCGCATACACACCGCAGCGAGCAAGGAGCCCCCTCCGCCAAATGGAGAGACAGGCGGCAGCGACTGGCTGCGAACAGATATTGGGGAATTACGGCAAATCACGGGGACTATAAAAACGATGTAACAAGTGCTTGTCGTGTCTTTTGTCACTGGTCACAGCATCTCACTTCCTGAGTGGATTGGTCATAACAAGCACAGACTTGTCATTTACCAATTAAAATGGTCTTCCCAAAACAAATACTGTGCATATGCCGGGGAAGGGAGTCTGGCTTCCCCAGCAGGACCCTCATTAAGTTGGTCGAAACTCCTCATAGCGGAAATGGGGAGAATGAGGAGGCAGAGGCGCCATGCACCGCTTGAAAACGTGGTGGGCACGTTTTCTTGACAAGAAGACACTCTGAAAACAGCTCTTCAGGATCACTCTCCCGACTTTGGGGGGCAAACAAACCAGCCCTGTGCGACGGGGGGGGGGAAAACTTTGCCCGTTGAAAAGCACAGGCACAAGGCATAGTTGGCGCAGAGTTGAGACGCCTTACTTGTCGGGGACAATACCATTTCCAGACACTGCTTGGCACAAAGGCAGCGATTCAACCTCTCCCAACAAACAACCATCAGCCAAGAACAAACTGAGATGGAGTTCAGGTGTCTTGATGTGACGCAGAATTAGCTCAGCCTGCGCCCAAAAGCAGAGCAAACTCATTCCAGAGCTTTCCTGCGAGATATGTCGCAACGAAGAAGCATTCCTGAGGGTCACCAAGGATCCACGCCAGATCCTGTTTGACAATCAGCCAACACCACCTCTCCGTCACAGTGCCGCTTAAGAACATGGCCAACAGAAGGAAAGCTTGGCAACCTCCCAAGTGAACTTTTTGGCTCCCCGAACTGCCCAACAAAGCTGGTTTGGTGTTGCTAAAATAATAACTTATTGATTGCCTGCTCCCCCATGAAGCCAAGGCCCCAAAAAGGCCACCGAGACAAGCCGTAAGCTCCGCCGGCAGCACGCGGCATGCGCTCGCCTAAAGCAAGGAGCTCCATGACGGGGTTCCCAGGGAGTAGCTGTGGGGGGATGAATCTCACATTGGCTGCCCACATCGATATTGCCGGCGGGGAGGGGGAGAGCACTACAACAGTTGCCCCTTGAGCAGGTGAACCATCCAGAATTTCAGGTAATTCCCCCCATGTACCTGGCACAAACGCAGAATTGGTCATGCTAACTATTGTTGGGATTGCCCCAAAGTTGAACTGTGTGTGCTAGGTCAAACTGTTAGGAACGGCCCGTAGTGCCGACAAAAGTCGATGTTCACTGCATGATGGTTGCATATATGCCACATTGAGAGCTTGATGGCTGTACCTATGAAACCGCAGCATTGCTCAAGTCTACTGGCTTGGACGATATTTCGAGAACAAACTATGATGATCGCAGTCTAGCCATGCATACAACATAGGTGTTTGAACATTTAGCAATTGAATTGTTTGTTCATTGTCCCAAAGACCTTGGAATAAAAAGGCAAGGGCCTTCACAAAACATAGACCATAACGGGAAAACCACAAAATGTCGAAAGGTCAATTCGCCGCGTGAGGCGTCTTGTCCGATTCAACCCAGACCGTGAGTCCTCCTGGATTTATCCGCTTGTAGTCCGAGCAGTGACATACCATGACCGAGACGTCTTCGAAGAGCAGTTCGACAAACAGTTGCATCCGTCAGAACATACCCAAAGCCTGCCTACATCTCACAAGCCGGATTCAACAGCTGGAACTGGCCCCAACACCTAGGTTGGGCCCATGGTTTCCCTACACCAGGGACCTAGCTGTCAACCAAGGCCCCAGGCATGCCAGCCACCACTGCGGTGAGCCCGTCGCAGTTCAGAATCCTCGCTAAGACCCGAGAACGAAGTTGCCGATGCGGCTTCACTTTGAGGTCTCAATGACAATGTGTTGGCAAAGTACAAAAAAACTAAAATCGGAAACAGGGAATCCCAATGTAAGCTGGGCATGCTGGGCCATGGCATTTCTTTACACTTTGCAAATGCACATCAACAACGCTCAATACTCATCGTCAATTGTCATTCAGGGTAGTAAAGGGATGAAGGGGGAACTTACCAAACATATCACTAACTTGCAAATGAGGGCTACTCACCAAAATCCCATGTCATGTCCGAAACACAACGATAGCGACTGCGGTTCGCATTGGCATTGGTCTTGTTGATGACACTTCTTGCGGCTTCCTTCGTGCTGATCTTTGCAGCTTGCAATGCGCTGACAAACAACAACGCCTTGCTGGTCAGGTTGCATGACCATAGCGTTTGGCCGGTGTCAAAAGGAGGTTTGGCTTTCATCAGCTTCCCACACTCCAAACTCATGGACCCCTAATGGGGGCTATGGGGAGTGGGGGCTATCCTTTTTTGACCCCTTAATAAGGCCTCATTCAGGGCAATCTTTGGCTTATCCTAGGCTTATCCAGGGATAGCCAACCCCCCCCATAGCCCCCGAAGGCTCCGCGACAAACTAAGCAAAAACACATAAGATTACAAAAAAAGTACCCAGAAGCTTTATGGGCGAAGAAGCCCCGCAGATTACTGGCTGCAGACATGCCTTCACTGCTGTTATCCGAACCTGGCGCAAGCTTCAACACAAGCGCAAATATTGCCCTAGTCCCGCCGGGAGTCCTGAATCAAAGCTGACTTCTGGACGAAAACTATAGTCTGCCCCTTTCAGGGACGAGATAGATGTCACATTTCTTCAATTTCTAGCTGCGCCAGGACCAGCCACCGGGCAGCAACAAGTGTTGAGAGAAGCGACCATTCTGTGGTCACGTCTACCTACACAACTTTATGCTACATAACTCTATTACCAATCACTGGTCGCTCGACTGCAAGTCAAGGGTCAGTTCGACTGCAAGTCCGAGGGTCACTGGACTTCCCCTTCAAAACGCTTCCAACAAAATTGTCTACTTTCGGAGGTCCACAGAAGGAACATTGAGGTGAGATATCCCGGGCTGCGCCTCGGCAAGAGATTCGGCAAAGAACTGATATGGGTGCTAATTTTAATGGGGAACCACCTCATCTCGTCCCAGTTCCCACACAAATCCATACCCGTATATCTTCAGGCCAAAATGGAATAAACATGGACGACGAGGGAGAAATAGGGTCAGATCCCCGTCGAGTAGAAGTCGTTGCGCAGGCGGAATCGTGGCCCAAAGGCTGAGAACCCATCTAAGCCCATTCCGCGCGCTCAGCTCGGCCGGGCGCCCGACGCTTGGAAGAAGGAGGCGTCGTCGTTGCCAAAGGCTGCCAAAAGGCTGCAGCCTTCTCTTTGGACCTGCGGGAAGAAAAATAAGTCAGGCAGGCAGGCAGGCAGACAAACAAACAAACACACCTGCCCCTGCTTGCCTGCCCGCCCACCTCCAACCCACCAACCCACCCAACAACCCCACCACCCACCACCCAACCCAACCCAATCCAACCCAACCCAGCCTCACACACGCAAACACATGACGCTTGCTGAATTGCCACATCAGACTGCCGCCACCAAATTCCTTTGCACGACAACCAGCAGAGTGCTAAGGTCAACGGAACCTAAAGGAACAAAAAAATAAGGAAACAGTCAAACAGGTACTCCTCTGCAAAATAACATGGAACCCTAAATAGGGTCTGCATAGGACTTTTGTGGGTTCGACTCTATAAGAAGAGTTGCAAAAACTTCTACATGATGTTAACCTACCAACCACCAAAGCGGTGGTTGTTTGATCAACTTCCTGTGGAATGTTCGGTAGATAGTTTCTCGGGGGCAAGCCAAGTCAGACTTCAGCGTTCCGCGTCTGTCGACCCACCCAAACGGCAAACGCGTTTCTTGCCTCCATGCTGTCCACGCAAACCTGGCGAACGGGTCTGACCAACACGGAGCCCATGGAATCAGCCTGGCCCACACCTGGGGTACCCAGGTCTTGTTTTTCAGATGTTTCAGATTTAGTCTGCCATGAAATAGAAAATAGTTTTGGAGGAGACCAGTGTTCCATTGTTCCCTCTGGCCCTCTGATTGGTGGTTTAGAGCTCACTGGTTTGGAGATTTTCGGGGGTGGGAAACCCCAGTTGTCTAAGATCCAGGGGATCAAACCGTAAAACAATCCAAATCACCAAGTGAGGGTTTCCTGGAGAGCATTAAAGAATATCATAAAACGTTTCAACAAGAAACACACAATGAGTGATTTGGATGGGTCTGAAAAATAAGCAATCCACATACCTCTTTCAAACGTCTATAGGGGTCTTTGTTTGGCCTACTGGCAGAAGGTTCCTCTGGAGGTTCCTAAACGACCAATTTCCGCAGGCCATGTCCGCCGTAGGTGCCACGTACGTGCAGGACGGTCTCCTGTCGCGGCTAATTCTTTCAAAGCTGTGAGCTGGTCCATCTATACATATATAATATATATATATATATATATATGTATATATATATATATACACATATATAGATTCACTTGAGCAGACTGATCCGGCCCCTGGTAAAAAGTTAAGTGTTTGATGGAAAGAACCTAATAAGGGGGCAAAAGAGGGACAGGTTGAAGAAAGTCTGCCCGTTTACTGCTTGTTTGGGGTAAGCGTGGGAGGCAACCTCGCCCTGACTTAGTTTATCTGTCCGTAACGCGAATACTGGCACGGGTTGGATTCAGTGACGCCTGAATCAAATCTGCACGCGGCCTTTGAAGGGCCTATCAGCAAGAACCAGGGGCTATAGGGCTTCAAATCTCCAAAGCACCAAAGGGGTACCTGACTCCTTGACTCCTGCGCACCGCACCGCGCCTGCATCGCCTTCAGCACTAGCCGCAGACCGTCCGAAGCGAGGAGCTTCCGGGCGTCCGTGTCTTCTGGCGCTGCCGCCAGCTCAGCCAACAGCACCAGCCTCACCCGGCGCAACAAATATATAGATGAGGTTAACGGAAGGAACCCCGAAAAGGGTCGGGAGGTCTTACATACAGTAAAAGTTAGTCTATCTTTCCAACAATGGTTATGTTACGATGTCTTGTAATTTTATGTCGGCTCACCTGCAGGTAAACATGAAACCTCAAAACGCAAAAGGAAACACCAAAAAGGATAAGACGCGTCCAAGCATCATGCCTTTCTAGACAGGAATTCCCTGAATCAGCCAGTTGCTGAAATCTTGGTTGGTTCCCACGTGTTCACTCTTCCCTGTAGATCCGTGGGGTCAAACATGCATGGTGAAACGCTCAAAATGAAAGCATCTCTGCTCAAAGGACTGGCCCTACCAATCAACCATCCTCTCTGAGGGCCACACTCCGTGTGCCAGTCTCTGACCTCTGAGCCTCTGAGCCTCTGAGCCCTGCACGCCTTGCATTGCACTGCCCAGCAGTCGTGTTCCTGGCAAACATGGTCTCACTTCCTGGACACGCAGGGGAGTATTACAAGCGGTTAGCCCTTTGTCGCTGGTCAACACTCCTGTGGCACTTCCGAGTGCATTGGTCAGCAAAAGTCTGCATCGTGCATTTACGGCTAAGGCCTTCCCAAAAGTTGAAAGTCCACAAAATGGGGAAGTGAGTCGTATGGGGTCCGTATCATATGAAGCGATGCCAATTAGGGGTTCACGTAGCAGTGGCTGGAGTTGGTTCCGGAGGGTTCATGAGGCAGTTGTTTTTTGTTGGGCTCCAATGGTTCGGAGCCTAGGGTTCCGGGCTCCTGAAGGGCTCTGGATGTTGCTCTTGCAAAAATACCACCTGTTTTCTTGTTCTTGTTGACCAGGGCGAGTCCCCCTTTTCCGGGCTTCCCTAAACCTTGCGTCAACGTCGAACGCGCCTTCAGGGCACTGCATACGGCCTCCAGGCACCCGCTGTCCACCATCTCCTGGCGGGACTCCGGGCCCACGTCCACCAAGCCTCGGAATGAAGCGAAGCGAATGCGCCGAGAGCTCCGCGGCTTTGAGCGGCTGAGTTGGCCAAACGGGTGCGAGGCTCCAGATAGACGCCCCACTGAAAAACAATCCCAGGTGTCCCGACCCTTTCAAACCCTACCCTCCCATCTGCTCACATGGAGCCTGTGGTCGTGTGGTCTTCCAGGAGCCCCCCGGTGGCCGTGTTCCACGTTAATTGGTGGGTAGGATATGTCCCTTTAAGCCTCTGGGTTCCCTTTTGATGGGAAAAAGACAGCGCTTTGTTTCGCAGTCTGCTTCTTCAAGGGGAACCCCCTCAACAAAAAGAGAAAAAAGGGCGCCACAGGTCCACTGTGGGACTAATTCATTTGGAAGAGGAGGGAGCCAACCTCTTCAAGGCTGAAAGAGGGACCGTTGATGTCTTCTTGGTTACCAACGGGTTGTAAAGGGGCCAGTTGGTGCCTCATTAGTAGACGTTCAAGAATGATCAACCGATTTGCCCATACAGCCCCCCCAAAACGTCCATTGGCAACATTTTAAATACCACGCTATCCTAGCAATCGCTTCACAACCTCTTCATTTGGGGTCTCGTTGAAAGTCATTTAGCTTCCAGGAGGTTTTGGCTAATTTGTAGAAGGCTCCTTGAAGTTTCCAGAGGTTCCTTTGCAAAATCAAAGGCACGGGATGCTGCTGAAAATGACCGGCGAAAGGAAGCAAGCCAGCGTTTGTTTGTGACTGGCCTCTAAACCTGTTAGAGTCTGTGTTCGTTTTAGTACTTTAGATTTTGTTAGACTTTAGTTTCTCTTGTTTTCAAGGAGGGTACCAAGTGGGTCCTAGGATGCCGTGAGACGATTGCGGTTGGCTTTGAACGCTGCAAGCCCTACAGATTGAAACCTCAACCCCCAAACATCCGCTGGTCGACATGCTGACTCCGGATTGGATGGGATGGGGGGGGTGCAGCTCCCCCAAAAGTCATTCAGATCTCCTCTTGTAACTGTGGGCCTCCGCCCCAAGTTTCTTTAACCAAGGGTCTGGTGTTCTTCCCCAAACCACGCGTTTAGCATCACACGGGCGAATATCGCGCTCTGGCCGGGACTGTCCCTTGCTCGTGGCTTGATGGAGCTTTCAGCCCCGCAGCCCAACCCCTCAGCCGCGGGCTGAGCAACACCATGCAGGCGAGCTGCTGCAGCACGTCGGAGCCTAAAACGAACCAGCCTCTGACATTGTCGCCTCGTGTATTTGTCTCGTGTTGTCCTCACGCTTGGCAAGCTCTTGGTCTACAGGCTTCAAGAAGGCGTTGCAATCAATGCTGACACAGCCGTTCTGCTCCCAGTAAACGTCCGTAAACATTTGCAGAAGCTCACCTGTCGTTTTGTTCTGCTCGTACTAAATGTGTCTCACGCACTGGCGCCTTGTTTGCAGCTAGGGGTGTATGCAACACATGGTTTTCTCCATTTCCTCGCTGATGCCTGCCGCAAATGTTGTGCGGATGGTATGTAGTAAAAGTGAGTCTGTTGCCCAGCAGCCATGAAACACGAAGGACAACTTGCTGGAAGGCCCTTGCTTGTCACAAAGCAGAGTATGTCACAGGACTGCGGTGCAGCAAAACACAAACAACAGTTGGCAACTATTCTGGGCGAGCCCCTGCATTCTGTTTTCTAGTTGATCAAGCAGGCCGCCAGCCAGCATGCTCGCAAGTCTTTGTGTTTCGGCATTCAGGTATCGTCATGTAAATACAAGGGCATGTGCAACGGGAAACAAAAAAGGACCACTTCCTGCCAACCAACGTCGAACATCCGTAAATCCGATAACAGGCTCTCCAAAAGGGTTCCTCGGGCCCTTTTCGCCCGCTGAAGCGATTGAGAGCAAATTGAAGGCTCGCGTTTTCGCTTGCCCGGCCACACATGTTGCAGTGGGGATCTCGAATGGAAGGCTCAACGGGTCGAGGAACTGCAGGCTGGATCCCCCGTTTGTGAAAGCAGTGACTTTACAGCTCGGGCAAGCATCTGGCACGGTTTCCCTATGTCGGTTCATTCCTTCCCTTTGCTTACCCACATGAAGGGAATTGTGCCATCTATTATACTTTTACGCTGGTGTATGGCAATGCTTCTCAAATCAGAGGTGAACGGTTCGCATTCGCACATGAGCGTGAAGTGTGAATTGTTTGTTTGGGCATTGTCTCTGTCGCGGCGCGGCGCCGGCACGGCCTTGTTCTGTCATTCCAGCTGTCTCCAACTGCTGTGGAGCGGGCACCAAAGAAATCGAGTGCTAAAGAGTGATTCCTTTCTTTCAACCAGCGCCCCTTTCAAAAGCCAGCCCTTTCCCTGGGTTTTCTGGGCTTTCTGGGTTTTTAAGGAATCGAATTGAATGGGCGGATGCCGACAGCCTCTGTGCCGGCCCATGATGTCAACGATGAGCTGAATCAGGTGGCCTGATCGCGCGCGAAAAGAGGGCTGAGCGCATTGGCTTCATGCTACATTGTTTTCTGTTCGGCTGCAGTATTGGCTGGTGGTTTTTGTTATTGCGTTCCCTCCATGATCTCAGGTGGTGCTCGATTCTCAAGGACCAGGAATTGTGGCCACCATACTTAAGCTGCTGAAACAAACATGTTTACGTGTATACTAAAACTTAATAAACCGATACGCATTGTACACATGCATATTCTTAGGTGCACGTTCCTTCGAAGAGAGCAGCGTGGACATGGCAACAAGACTTGGCACCGTGCCTTTGATGAGCATGTCCTTGATGTCCGCGCCTGACGCGCCAAGAAATGGCGCCCCAGTTCAACTTGTCCACATCCCTTTCTACGTCCTCGTGGCCAAATTTAGAGAATGCGATTTAGACAAGATTCAGAAAATGCTGGGAAAAGTTACACCTCCAGGTGAGGAGGTGAACAGCGATGTGGAATAGCTGGCTCTTTAAAACCTGCTCAAGTCTCATAGTTTCAGTCTTGAACGTTCATTTGCAAAGGCATGGCCCATGCCTCAAAGCCTGGAGCGGTCAGCTCGCTCAGCAAAGCGAGTCGAACAATGGCTGCAGGGTTCCGATACAAAACTTCGGTCTGTTTGAAAGCTTCCTCAAATGGTGGACCCTTTTCGCTGGTATTTAAAGGGACACAACGGAAGCCCAGACAAGCCGAAGAAACCAGGGCGGCGGTCAGCGACTGATCCCCAGAATTCCAAGGTTCCGCGAATAGTGTGATGCCCGGCCGGGGCTGAATAAGGGGTCTGGCAAGGAGTGTTTGTGTTTGCTCCATGCTCTCTTGGTTTCCATTGAGGCAAATACCAAAGTAGCCCTCCGCCATACCCCGTCCGTGCACACCGTGTGAGCCAGCCCCCATGAAAAGGCCCAGAAGCATCCGTGGTCTCCGCCCACAATTATGGAAGGTGGACCGCCGGGGAAGTACCATCCTCTTTGTTGGTAGTCTGCTGTTGGTTTGGCGACGGGCCCCCAGTTCCCCTCAAACCAACGGTTGAGACCACCCACTCTTCCCCTGATGCCATACCATGTCCTCGGGGACATAATATATCGGTTTTCTGGGTGCTTCAGCCAGGTGCTGTGTGTGTCAATGAAAGGGTAACAAGGAGAGCCTTCAAGAGAGCCCCTGTTTGGTATGGAAGGTTGAGCAACCCCAACCACATAAATCCGCACATGTTTCAAGTTTCACACCGAAAACAGCTCGGAGATTCGAAGAACAGGTTTTCAGGTTTGCTGGAATTGCTAAAGCACGATGTATGGTGTTTCTGTGTTTTGCGGATGGCACAAAGCCACCTTATTCAACATGTCAGTTCCTGCTCGATGGCTCCCTTTCAGATTCTACTGAAAAAGCTAGCTACGGATGTTCTGTTTGCTGAGGCAGGTCCTAACACCGCTAGGGTAGATTCCGGGGCGAGGTGGCAGGAGCACAAACCTGATTGCAAACGGACAGCTTGCGTTTTCGAACACCGGGCGACCGTCCACTTCCCTCGTCCGAGGGCCCTCACTCCGCCGCGCCAGCTTCTCCGCCGCAACGCAGGACCTGATTTGGACCTCAGATCGTCTCCTGGGTCACATGGTTCCCTCTTTCCGACAAGAATGGTTTCATGTCGTGTTGGTCTGATCGTTTCGGTACTCCCCAGAAAGGACATATTTGGTCCTCCAAACCTCCCATCGCCGGCATCCATGAATCTTACAGCCTCAGAGGATTGCTTGTTTCGAGAGTCACACCAGGGTCCAAGCTAGCCTGCTGAGTTTATTGGCCCAGAGAAGTTCAAACTTGTTGGGCCCTATTAACTCAAGTTTGGCACTCAACAAGTAAGCAAAATGCTTTCAGAAAGAAGAATCTACCTCGACAGTGGCACCCTGACCAAGTGTAAGCCACAAGCCATGCGGAAGGTAGTTGATAATCCCCCGCTCCCCTCTCCAAAGTCGGTTGTTATTCTGGCCTTCTTCATCTAGTTGGGTATCTCTTGAAAACTGGCACCCCAGCTGGCTGGTTTCCTTTTGGCGCTCTTTCAAAACACGTGACACAAGGTGTTCTTGTGGTTGACTGTTGGAACGGTTGCAGTAGAGCGGCGTTGGGAGATTCACCAGATTCATTGTTAATTACGAACGCCGAACATGCCACCAACAGTTAGTCTTTGGTTTCCCGCCTTTACCTGACCTTACCCGCAAGAAGGCAGTTGTGGCTAGCCTTGAAACACATGTTCTTCTGTTCAGGCAAAACCTACCAAGGGTAGCCCCGACCATCTTGATCAGGCCACGACTGCCAAATTATAAGGTCTTCCTGGCCCAGCGTTCACAACTTGGATGCGGTCAGACATGGGGTTCAAGAATACCGAGCATCCTGTTGACAACAAAGGAACATGGCTCTTGAGCGTTGGGTCTAGCAGGTCATCATGTTTGGCCAAACGGCTTCTGTCGTTTCAACTCACAACGGGCCACCCCCCCAAATGAGATATAATATTCCTCTTGCCTGCCAGGACAAAGCCAATGACCACCTTACGCAAAAAGCAACTAGCCTTTCATATTTGATGGGCCCCCGGACATCCACATCCTGTGCGTGCGTGGCAAAGACCTGGTCCCATCAGCACGACGTCCACACGAGTTGCACCCAATTCTCCCATTGAGGTTGCCAAAGTGCCTAAACCCCTTGACTGTTTGTTCACGTAGAACCAACTACTCAAATGGCCCTTCGGGTTTTGGGCTCACACGCGCTTCGATCAATTAGGACTGTCGAACCTTGCGAGAAGCACTTTTACTCCAAGGAAGCAGAGCATCTTACTCAATTGGCCCAAATTAATTGAGGCTAAAAGGAAATTCGGGGCAAATCGGAAAAGCCCAGCAAGTTAAGGCTTAGCTCTTCTTTGGCCACGAGTGGGAGGTACGCTCACTGTGGCAAACCAGGCCGAATTCCACACGGCCCTGCAGCAGCGCGAAGCCGAAGCCAACGAAACTCATCAAACACAACCGAGTGGATAAACAAACACAGGTCGCTGCGGCTTTCTGGATGCTACCGCTCAATACAATTCTCAGGTATCAAGCAGGGATGCTAAAAAGGATACGGCACTAGTTTGCGACAAGTGGAAGCTCATGGTGCCTGCTTGGTCATTCGTAATGGGAACCCCAGAACAATCAGCGTCCCCCTGTCTGGCTGTGAGGCGCCATCGCCGGCATGGAACCCGAAAGGTTTCTCTACAACTTAAGTGATTTGGAGCCAGGAAGGCTGACCATGACAACGTTCCGCTTTCTATGCCCTTGCCTGTTATGGTTCTAAAAAACCATATTTGATAAAGTCCCACAAGGGCCTGTCCACATCCGGAACCCGTCAAATCACACCTACTCTTCCTTTGTCTGCTAGAAGTTTACAGGAGGGTCTCAGACTGGAAGCATGTGGATGTGTTTCTTTGAGGGTACTCGCTTCAGGTTGGTTTAAAGTGAAGCCAAGAGGAAAACCTTCATGCTTGGGATCCCACCAAACCCATGCCTGTTCTCATCTCACCAGCTTCTACCTGGCAGAGGGCCTGCCAAACCTCTGCGCACCCTCCCGCCTTGAGCAAGGACTCCACTCCTGGCAAAATGCAAAGCTTCGGTTGAATGGAAATAGACCCAACAGGCACGACATCAACAAGCGGAATTTTGTCGTCTGGGACATGCGCAACTCGCGAAAAGAGGAGGCTGTGAGATCCATGGCTGTCTCGAAGACGATAGCCTTGGGACGATCCATGAGCAGGCTAAGGTAGGAAAATGGAGCAGGGAGGTTTCCAACCCCCTGCCTTGAAAGCAGTCTTAAGGGACCCCACGAAATTCCCACCTCCTCCCTGCTCATCCATTTTCCCTGCTTGTCCAGCTTCTCCGAACAGGGCTCCCTAAATTTTCTATTGCCTGATACATCACTCTACCAAAAGGAACTCATCTTGAGCCCAACAAGTGACGTTTACCAACTTGTGGACCCCTGCCAAATGCGCCTCCGAAGACGATGACATCTTCGATGTTGTCATGCTCGCCTCAGTCTGTGTTTCGTGCAGACAAAGCCGTTTGTGGCGACCGTTTGTACTTGGGTGTTTGTGAACATATCACAACTCAGGTGGCAGGTGTCGAAGAAAAAGTTGTCCAAAAGGAATGCCATGCAAATGCAATCATGAAATCTGAGTATCCGGGCTTGGTTCGGTGTTCAGAAGCTCTTACGATGCTTGCTCTCTTGTCCCGCCGTTTTCTGAGGGCTTGTCCTGTTTTGCTCCACTGGTCAGAATCCAGGATCCCTTTTTGGGTATTGACTTCCGCCAAAGCGGCTGGCAGGAACATGACGCGGCAAGGGATGTTGCAGGGTCGTGGGAGCAACCAAGCTTCTATCCTGCCGTCTCCGTTCCAGTCTCTGCAAAGTGCAACAAGCTCATCGATTCAGAGGTGGCGGGCATTTGCTTGGTGGTTTCTCATCTCCGGTTTGTGGACTGCAACGCCCAAAACCCGTTGACTCTAGTTGTACTGCGATGATGGTTGATTTAGGGGAATATAGGCCTCACTACCCTTGTTAGACCAGGTATGACCACCTACAGTGAAGTGGAGCTGGTGTTCTCAGCGCCAGGCAGTCCCGTGTCTGGAGCTCTACCAGGTCACACCCGAAGACCTACAGGGCTCAAACAGATTCGTCCAGCTCCATGTTCCATGCCTTACGTCAAAATGGAACCCGTGACTGACTGCCTCTTCCCAGTCACAATTTAAGGCGTAGAGTGGAAAAGGAGCAAAGCAAGCGGCGTGTTGCGCCGAACCCAAGTGAAGTAGGGGAGGCATGCCGGGATTCGGTTTACAAAAGCTTACATGCGGTGCTACTTTACAGGATATGCATTTACAAATCCGAGAAACTGTGCGGATGGCCAACCTCCCCGCCTACTGCTGATGACATCTGTTTCATGTTTTAAGAGCCACCCCTAGCTTCTGAGCTGCTCGGAACGTCTTGCCACCAGAGCGCGCGTGCCTGCCTCTTAGACGAGAGGCAGGCGCATGTCAGCGGTAATTCGCCCTCTAAACCTAGTCCTGGGATTAGGCCTCGTTGCTCAACCCTCTCCCCCGCCTGCAGCTGCGGCAAGTCCTGGCGGGCCTGGCCGAATGGGCGTGCCAAAGGCGTGGTTCAGCAGCTATGGGGCGTGGGCCCTTTGTGTTTCAGCGTAATAGCTGGGGCTAAACAAGTAGAAGGGGGTTCAAATTTAGTTGTGGCTACAGCGGAATACTATTGGTAATCGTTTAGCTCCCCCATAATTTGATACATATCAAGCATCCACGGTGAGACTTGAAACATGGCTGTTGGAAATCGCATGTTTTCTGCGCAAGGGGAATTTGTTGTATGTCCACTTTGCAACTGCAAAACAGGTTTCGGTGGTATCACAAAAAGTGGCTGCAAACCCCAACTTTCCCCAACCAGGACTCGAAAACATCAGGGTTTCCAGCGGAGGCAAAGGCAGTACGGGTCCGCTCACATATATCGGGGCAGGGGGCTGTGTGGTCGGCTCGGTTTCAGCTGCTTCTAGCCATGCAAAGCCAAACTGCAATGCATGTGTGTGTGTGTATGTGTGCGTCCCAAGAAGCTGTCCAGGTTTTGAGAAGCTGTCCCAAATTTGCCGCCAAACCTCCTCGCAGGCCCCGACTCTGAACCGAAACCAGCCTGGACCTCAGTCATGATCTGCTTCCAGGTGCCCCGCACCGTCATCCGATGCCGGCTCCGGCCTGAGAAACCGCGCCCACATTTGGAGGGTGCCATGCCAATCGGGGTGGAGTCAAAGCAAACGCCTTGCACATAGCTTGATCTCCAACACTTGGTGAGGCTCCTCTCATGAGAGTTTCCCTTTCAGACTCCGTAAGCCGTGGCTCAAAACACCAAGCAATGCTCGCATGGATGCCATCAGCAGCTTTGCCCCCTGATCCCTGTCAACAATTGCCCAATCGAAAGGCAGCCGGTTGTCTTGCAAGTGGCCGGCAAATATCCAACTTTCCACCAGTGAATTCCAAGCTTAGATACGGAGTCTTTGGAAGCTGGGTTGAGGGCTTGGGGGCGGTCAGGGTGAGACATTCAAGTGGATGTCGTTGACACCATATTCCGTTCAGACATTCAAGTGGTGTCTGAAGACCTTTAGCGGGAATAAGGTATGTCGTTGACACCATATTCTGTTCGACTGCCGTTGGCCTCCCTGGTGCTACCCACCCAAACGAAATAGACTTTATCGACCTTCAGCTGAAGGCTCTCAAAACATTATATTTCGCAAAAACCAAGGGGCCAATTAAGGGGCCTCCATGATGGGTCAGCTCGTCACTTTGCCCAGAGGGATGCCCAAGCCTCGTGCAAAAACTTCCCTTCGACCCGCGAAACGCAGCGAAGGTGCGGTTCGCGGCAAGATCTCGGTAGGCCGCCAGGATTATCTCCTGGCCGGCTTAAGTCAGAACAAGGAAGGAACCGTTCCGGAACCTGCGACTCCTCTCGGGAAGCAATGTGGCCCACAAAATCCCACACCACGGCAAAATCACCAGACAGAACTACAGCGAGCTCATTCGATAAACCCGACATCCTTCCGCCTACATATATATATATATATATATATGTAAACCAATGTCACCCTCCAACGCCAAGAAACAAGGACAATAATGAAGCCTACCGCGAGTGGTCGACCATAATGTTCACTACGACATATCAAAGTTTCAAGATGCTTCCCAGTATGTGCCCTGCAAAGGCCAAGGGGAAAGAAAAATACCCTCTCTTGCTTGGGAAGGCAAGCTATCCTGAAACTGGCCCCGAAAACAAACTTCGGATGTCAGAATCAGGAAGTCGCTCGGTGTTGGCAGGCACACCTCAGGCGTCTGTTTTGTAGTTGCTTCTTGGCAAAGTCTTGGGTACACCCAAATGAATATGCTCAGATTGCCCTTCATATAGCGTCGAAGTTGAAATATACAGTCAGCGGAGACCTATTTTTGGTCATACTTAATTCGCAGGGGGGTACCAAGCAACGCCAATTCGGAAAAAGACACCGTGCTAAGTCTCCCCCCGAAACATCGCACCACCAAGTGGAAAGCCACGGGCAATCACGTGCAAGCGGGCTGGGTGGAACCTTCATCTCTTCGGGGGTAGAGGATGGGAAAACTGTGATGGTTGCGTGTAGAGATCCCAGCAAACCCGAAGCCAGGGCTAAGCGACCACTGGGATTGTCTTACAAAAAACAGGGTGTTACGCATATCCAAAGTAAGGGCACCCAACCCCTGTCAAGTCCCTTGTGAAGTGCCCTTTGATTCTCTGTCTGTGGGGTGCCGAATCAACAAACTCCCCAACCTGTGACCATACCGGAGAACAACTCCAACTCAGCGGTACACCACACATCCATCGGATTCTGGCCCATATTTCCATCAACCTATTTGCGCATTGATACCCCGAATACGAGATCTCGGGCCGGCGCCGCTCCTGCAGCTCGGGCTCTTTGAAGGTGTCCAGAGAGCCCATGAGGAGCTCCACCACACCCAGGGCTGTGCTCCTATCCGCCCGAATCGATGGGCGAGTGGGAGATTGAGCCTGTTCCGAAATCCCAAACATGGAAATGCACAGGGCACGCTTTTTAAGGAGGCGGTCCTTCAAAAGGGGTACGGTACTGTATGTGCATCGTTGTTGGTGGGAGAGTTATTGGCGACTGAAAGGACACTTACAATTTGGAGCAGTATGTAGTATCAAGCTTGGACACACACACACACACACCACATGCTTGAAGAAAGTAACTTTCCTACTGTAACTTTCCTACGGAATGCTATGTTGAACCATTGTGTTTGCTGTATTCCGGTTCTACGTGAGTACTCCTGATTCACAGAGTGCGTCTGTCCTAGACATTCCAGCCTCATGATCTCAGCTAATAAAATCTGCGGGTGCAAAAGTGCAGAGTGACAATTGACCCGGAACATGCGCACATGACTATGACGAACTACAGGTACTTCATCTTTTGCCTCCAACCAAACATGTTGCTTGATGTTGGTTCGAATTTAGTGAATCTCAAATCAAATCAAACAAGAACTCGGAAAGCTTCCATGTCAATGAAATCAAACTGGGTTCCTATGAACTGACAGTGGCCCAAGACAAAGCAACCATGATGCAACAATATAGCATTGCTGCGGTTGTAAGACAAGGCGCTGAATATTTCGCGCTTGAACATCATCCCGGACGAAACTCGCTCAAAAGTGGCATGACAAAGGTGATGCTCAAGCGGGCTTTTCGCAGGGAAGTATAGACACGCAGGCTGTTCCCTTCACATCACCATTTGAAATACATTGGAACATTTTGAGGGTGTCGCTTGAATGTAACCAAGTATGGATGAAACCAAGACATTCAGCAGCTGTTTCTTGCTCTGTGGGTTCTTTTTCCAAGATGACCTTATCCTCCTCAAGGATGCGTAGTTTGGATGGGTTCCCTGCTGGTGACTTGTCCTCGGTGGTTTGCAAAGTTGCAAGGCCCAAACTCTGCAATTCCCGGAACGCAGACTAGTACTGTTGCCGGGTTGGATCTTGATGATTGGGCCTTGGTGTTCGTGGTACTTGGGGTGTGGGCCCAGGAGGAATGCAGTTACAAGACATTGAGGCCAACGACGGAGTCAACTGGACGTGTAGCACGACGTATTGTCACTCATCACTAGGGTTAGAGTACTTCCTGTGACTGGAGCAGGCCGGATTCAGCACCTGTGGAAAGAGCCTCCCCCTTTGAAGTGCAGCAATCCGCATCTGACAAAGGGGTGCCGCTCGTCTGAAAAACAGTGTGCCCCTTTTGCCTTCGAGAGAGACCTGGAACAAATAAAAGCACACTCTCCAAACAAAGCATCAATGAGCAAGTTTGCGGTAGAAACTGATTCCACCGGAAACATGCTCCAATTAGCTCCGCCCAACCCAGCAGCACGTTCTGCCGCAAAGCGCGATTTTGGGGCAATCGACGAATTATATGCTCCGCTCAAGGGCTGGAGGAAGCAAACTGCTCTGCAATGCTTCCTTCCTTCATCCCTCCCGCTATGCAAATTGGCCACCTGCACCTTTCAACTGCGTTCCACGACATGTGCTATTTGGTAGTAACACCTTGGTTCCAAATCAAGCCATTTCGCTTGTGCATGCAAAGGCCGGTGTTCGAATGGTGGTCAAAATTCAACGAGGCGTCGCTCATAACAATGGCAACAGAAGTCCATTTGCCGAAAAAGCAGACTCACCAACATCAGTCAGCAGGCATTTGCTCAATGTATAATTTTGATCTAGAAATGAACAAATAAATAGGAGGTCCCGTTTCAGGGGCATGTGCTCACTTATGGGATCAGGTTGATTCATCCAATATCGACATGACCACAAGAATTCTCCTCCTGAGAAACACACATCCCAATGTTCTGTCCTGCTGCAAACAAATCTGACTTCCGTGCGAATTAATACAATGCCGCAAGCATTGAATGCTTTGCGGGGCCCAAGAGATTGCAACTCTTTGGGCAAGGCAAAAACGGGGCGGGTTGCAGGATGAGGCGGAGGAAGGGTCGCCCAAAACAGCCGGCTTTCAGGGTGTCCCTTTCAAGGGAAAACCAAACATGGCGCCAGCGTAAAACGAATTCAAGCTGATTCAGTTCACCCCGTCCTGCGAAAGAGGGGGATTTCATTATCCACAGCTCGTAGATTGAAACCACACTCCACATTGGCAGCATCGCTGCTGACTTCCAGATGAGCCACGCGCCACCGTCATAGTTTGCGCTTACCGTATAGGACATGGACAAATTGATGAGTGCCCTGGTTTTGTGAGAGCTTTTGTGAGCCACCCACGTCCCTCCAAAGCGGAGAGTGGTCTACCGAAAATTTGGATCAAACCTCAAATGAACATTTTGCAGGCTTCAAGCCACCGTGCTGACAAGGACATTGATGTGGGCAACTGACAGGGAGACAGGTACGGGCAAAGCTGCTATGGCCAGCCTTAACAAAGACCCCGGGTTTGCATGAATCCACAGTTTTCATAGTAAAAAGACGACAAGATGTTTACCCTCCCGCCAACTAGCATGGAACCTCACTGGTAGCCTTTGGAAGACCGTCTTCCCTGTTTCCAGCAGCCTTGTGGGTTCCATGTTAGCCGGTGGGAGGCTACTTTCACCATCTTCGGCGACTCCCAAAGAGCTGATCCACGCAAGAAACCCCCATCCCAACCAGCCGATCCTTCCAGAACCGGGCAAAGGTCCAAACAAACTTGCATTTGCATGGCTTACCCAACCCGAAAGCCTGTTTGGTGGATTTCATTGCTCCAAACGCTCTCACACACCCAGGACTTCATCCGCTGAACTTGTCGGCTCTCAACGTAAAAGCTCCAAATTCAAACCAATCCTCAGTCCCATGATGCTTCCCACCAGGCGTCTACAGCTGCCTGGTGAAGTCACTCACCAGCCTGCAACAATATTGAATCACTAGTCACTGAAGCAAACACGGCCTGGCGAAAGCACAGGCTATAAGCAAGTTGCTAAAGCAATCTAAAGCAAGGCTGGAACACTGCTCAATCAAGTTTTTTGACCAACAAATGCAACCAATTCATCTCTTCATTACGTAGTGTTCCAGACAAAACGCCTGACATATTGAAGGGCCCCATACTTATTCTTAGAAGCAAAGGACCACCTCAAAGGCACACTCGCAAACATACTGTCAAAACAACAGATTGCCCTGCAATTCAACACAGCCGCTGAGTGGGGAAGGCTCACGTTTGGTTCATCTGGTTCATTTCGTCCATCTACCGGCGGGGAGGGAAAACACAGCTCTCTAAGATTCAAGAGCGCGGCAGCACGCCCACCGGCAGGTGCCAGGGTTGCTTAGGCCAGCAACTCTCGCTGGGCACCCCGGTTCAGGGTTTCAATTGCCTCACAACGTGCATCCGATGCAAACATTGCTGTCCAGCAACCCCGGAAGCTCAAAGCAGCCAAGGCCAAAGATGGACCACGACCATTTGGCAGGTCGTGGCCTATAGCGGCCACTCGCTGATTACTGCAGAGGGCCCCTTGAGGGCCAACTTGGCATGCAATGTGTTCATTCGCGACAGGCCAAACAAGCTGCGAGAGGTGCTCTGAGTACGCTGGAACATCCAATGCATGGTGGAAATGCAACGGTTGGCATAAGCGTTGCTCGCACAAGCGTTTGCTCACAGTCTCCAGAACAACTGCCCGGGCACCCTGTTTCCTGCCGCATTGGACTGCTCACGTGCTGAAAGCCTGACCAAAAAAAGCCAGGCCATGCCATTCTGACACGTCCAGGCCACATGCTGCGCTCACTTCGTAGTCTACGCGGTCAAAAGGATTTGTTCATGGTTCATGGCTCGAAATCCAGCCAACTTGCTTCGCCGCTCACAAATTCTTCGGGAAAAACGTAGTTGCATGCGATCGCTAAGTGCTAAGTGCGGCGTCCAACATGTAGATCCATGACATGGCATGTGGCGTCTGACTGTAAGAAGGCAGTTCTGAACCTCCACAATTGTGTGCAGGTCAGCAAAAAATCGTCTTGCGGAAAGTTCCATCACTTACCACAAGGATTGCGCACTACTAAACACTGAGCCAACGGAGGTCGAAGACCGCAGGCTCGCCTGCCCGTCCGCTACGCCGAAGGCTTCGGGTCTAATTCCGGGCGCCCAGCTGGGGAGCGCGGGCGTCGAGGGAGATCGTCACCCGCTGGTCTCCCAACAACACCTGGCTCTCGGAGGCACGGTTCAGGCACTCCAAGGCCTCCTGCGAAGCGGCGCTGGGGTTGGGAACGGGTGCGGGGAGCGTTGGTCAAGCCCAGGTTGATTATATACTCCCCCTAGCCTCGCCCATCAGCACAGAACGGCTTCTCGTGGGATGCAGTCCGATGCGTGGGAAGAAGGAGGGGGAAGTAGATTGCCAGCTTCGCCTATTCTGGAATGAAGAGCCCATCCTGTGTTCCTATCCGCTGCCAAAAGCGATAGTCAACACGTTGTGCGAGGCTGGTCAGGGCCCTCTCACGCGAAAGTTTTGCATTCCACAAGAGTGCTCAACTTGTCTGCAAGTGTTACAATAATTCCAGAGCCCGACATGAGGAATCCGAAAGTCAGGGCCCCACATGGGTTGGTTTTGTTTTTTTCACCCCCGGGTTTGGTAGAATCGACTCGCTCGTCATAAAGCAAGACCTTCCCACTGAGTCCTGGGAGAGCTCGCCGATCCAAAAGAGCGGCTGCGGGACCAGTGCCGGGCCCTGGTGACGGCAGAAATCGGGGTACTTGCTGGTCACCTGAGTCAAAGGCCTTCATGCCCAAAGGACCTGCAAGAGACAAGTCTTGGTCCAACCAGGGTACGCCAAAAAAAAGACATGCGCCAGATTGGCTTGGATTTGTGGCGGAAGTGAAGCGTTTGTACACTCCTGCAAATTTTACATGGAACCCTTAAAGAAGGATTGGCTTTCACAGAAATCTCTGTTTGGGTTTGGGGACCCAGTTTTCCTTGGTCTATGTTAATTTGCAGGGGAGTAAGCCACTGTTGCCAACTGG